GTTCTCATTGTGTGTACTAGGCATAAGGTTACATAGTTAGTCTGGCTGAAAAAAGACAAAAGTCCATCCAGTTCAACCATAAAAAAAAAAAGTTATAATCCTATACCCACAGTTGATCCAGAGGTTCATTTGAATGGGATGCTATGCCTGCATTTTGTACAGAAAGAGGGTATTGGCTCATTTTTTTTTCTTTCAACCCACTGTTGGAAGAAAAAAAAGAATCATGTATGGCCAGCTTGGGACTCAAGCTTAGTCTTGACTAGTTCTCTTTATGTCCATCAGATACGTGCTGTTCAGAAAATAGTTCTCTTGGTCTCAAGCATATACTACTGCTCCAGCCTTCTTCTTAATTTAGTCTTCTGTAGACTGAATAGAGTGTTTTGTTTTAATTGAACATTTTCCCAGCTTTTATCTTCTCTGTTTGCCATAGAAATGCTGCCCTGATGCTGAAAGCTACTCTAATTAATTCCAATTAGTAGGTTATAATTAGTTGCGTGCCCCGGAACAGCAGGGGACTAAACAAACAACATATTTTATTCCGTTATTGCTGAGTGTTATCGCTCTGTAATGGTCTGTGCAGAAACCAATTAGGGGGAAAGGGCCATTGGGTCTTGCAATGGCTTTATATATAGCTACAGTTTTTGGTTGTCAAAGGACCCAGTTCACGAATGGTGGAACAGATCAATGAACATCTAAGATATGACCTTGTATGCCCTGATGTATTCCCCGGGGGGGTCCTAAATCCTTGGCTGAGAAGTACTGTTCCAGGGATCTCGCCTCTGCTTCGTGACACACGACACATCTTTCTCTGGCCCAGCTCTAATGACCCTATTCTGCTCATTTAACAATAGAAAAGTAACATCCTGCATGTAATGCTCCAAATACTCATGAACTCCCAGAGAGCACCTAAAGCCCAGGAGGCTCTGCTATAGAGATCTCAATGCTTGCATAGTCAAGGGCTTGCCAATGCCTACTGCTTTCCACAACCCATCAGTGGGCACTTGGCCACCCAACACCCTAAAGAACAATGTGACAGATGTGGGGGGTTACGTGTCAATAACCTTTCATTTGGCTATACACAGAGCAAATTTAAGCTGGTTCCTGAAGACAAAACTCACTTGGTGGGTGACCCTGTTGGCTGCCTTTCACCCAACATCCATCAATCCAATCAGGTGTTTTGACAGCTGGCGGCCAAACATAGCTCCTGTCAGGAAATGCCTGCCAGCAGTCCAGGTGAAGCTCCGCGGCGCAGAAATATGCGCATGCGCAAGGTTCTGGTGAGCCAAACAGATGTGCAGGCGCCTGGACAGAGGCGCGCGCAGCTGCACTCGCGCACTCGCGGGTCCGCGCCTGTCACTAATGCTGGCGCCAAGAGGGCTATTTAAACTGGCTGCTGTGGTTATGGTCTTTTTCCCCTGCTCTTGTTCCTGACTTCTGTGATTGTTCCCTGTTGCCAAAACCAGCCTGTTTCCTGACTTCTGATTGATCGCCTCTTGCCCTGACTACCGGCCTGTCCTTGGATTGCTCTTCTGCCTGCTCCCGCTTAATTGACCTCCTGTTATTGAACCTGGCCTGTGACCCGACTTTTCTCCTGCCTGCCGTCTAAGCCTGATCTGTCTCATCTAATACTGAACCCGGCTCGTCTGACTCTGCTTCTCTCTACACGGTGCTCCCGCATCCATCCATCCGGCACGGATACATCTGCACCCTGCTCTGGTCTGCTACTCATCAGTCCAACAGCTATCTCCGGACAGATCTCAGGCCCTCATACCCCACCGAGCTCTTGCGACCGCTGTCCCACTCTCAGCAGTCCTCGAGCCGGGGTTGTACGAGAGGTCTGCCTCTTCACGTCAGGCTCACTACCCAGGTACGTGACAGCTCCACTGTCAAAATGAGTAAGGATTTTAAAAAATGTTACACTTATTTGTCACGTGATTGGCAAAGGGAAGTCTTAGGGAAAAATTTGAGCAGCCTCAGAGATGAGCCTTAAAAAAGATGTACCATGAAAGAAATGAGCTGCCACTGCTGATCTTCTCCTAAAAATGTTAGCTGACTGGCTGTCATGGTGACCCTCTGGCTTCAATGCTTTCAGATTTAATTACATGAAACTATTTTGTGGATCATTTCACTTGTTTATAGCCTGTTTTAGGTTCATGATTCATAAACTATTGAGACCAATGACATGAAGGCAGACATCAAATTCTGAACGTGCTCTGATTTTCATTTTAATACATTTCCAAAGATTTTATTTTGCTAATTGTGTTTATTTTTACTCTTAAAGGGTCCTCTTCAGTTGATGGTGCAAGGATGCACATTTACAATAGAGAAGTTCAGTTTGGGTTGCCTCATTATTGTTTTGGGCCAAATAAGTGTATGGCCAAATAAATCCCTGACATCCACGCACTGTGCGTCCTAAACCTATATTTTGGCAGGGAAGTTATGTTCTTCCATACATACTCCTGTTATGAACAGATTAGGTCTAAAGTGGCTTGATTTGTCAGATAATCTTAACGTGTCTGATTTTTAATGATCTCTGTGGGACACTGGGAGTAAATTCTCTTCAACTCCATCAACATGCAGTGGTCATTTCAATTCGGGTTCTCTTCATCCCCATTAATTCCTATGGGGACAGCCATACTCTGCAGGACAGATGGAGGCCATCATGAGTATGATTCCCAATAGAAATGCATGGGGCACCAGCTCCACACCGTCATTCAGCCAGATTCCTTTCATCCACAGCTGTCTTGAAGTTTTTTCAACTTTATATTGTAAGGGGAATGTGCCATCAACATCAGCAGTGTAGCAAATAAAAAAAAAAGATGAACACTTTACGTTTTTTTAATAAAGAAAAAAGTCTTTAAAACATGTAGTCTCTAGTGTCTACACTTGCCGCCATAGTTATGTGGCCTACGACTGGAACTCTGTTCACATCCTTTCCAGTTTCGGGGCCATCTTTAAATAGCCATACTTCGGCAATACAGGCAGGGATTTTCCCTTAGACCATTAACCGGCAAAGACAAAATGGCTCAACTTTGTAATACAAAACTATTAAAATCCCACAGTTGGCTCCGCCGAAGATTATGGAATTCAATTACACGATGCTCTACCTTATCCACATTAAAGGGATCACTCCCAACATATCCAAAAAGGATTTTAAAAAAATAGTTATAGCTCCATACATAAAGACTAAAGCAACTAAAAAAATGCATATCCATGAAAGCAACACCAAAATTAAAGGGAAAATTTTTATTTATTTACTTCTACTATAGTTCAATGCTATGAATAGCTCACCTTAAATTCGATCCACATACAATTAATAAAATATTTAAAGTTAAATTATTAAAATATTGTATCAGTGACAAAAATTCATTATAGAGTCTGGGTATGCTACATATCACAACTCAACTAAATTTCTACGTAAAAATGTATTGAATAAAAATCTAAAATCATAAATCCCAGCAGAGGAGAATCTGTAATTAGCATAAAATCACCTAATAGGAGAGAAGAGGATATTGGAATATTGAATAAAGGAAAAATGTATTATGCGGTAACTCAGAGGGAAAATAAATATATAGTTCAACTTATATCAATAAAACAATTGATATCCCAGTTGATATTTAAACCTAAAGGGAGAAAATATTTAGCTCATATAACCACCACACCTCCGTTTTGGATACTTCTCTAGAGCGATTAATTCCTCTCCAATGCGGCTGTAATTTATCAATCTCTGAAAATTTGATATCACTAGGGTCCCTTCCATGACATTTATTCAAAGGAGCTGATAGACTATACTTCCTTTAACTTATCCTTATGTTGTAAACATGATCCTTGAGCCGATCTCCTAGCTATCCTTTTTGACATATTGTTTCTCGCCAGGACACTCAAGTAAGTATACCACAAATCTGGTTTCACTGGAAATGAATGAAGCAATCTAATACTCACTTTCCTGTAACCCCAGAAGAAAAATGTTACACATTGTTTTCTTACCCAGGGTGCAAATTACACATTTATTACAGGTATAGAACCCCTTCATCTGTGTAAAAAATGTGATCTTCTAAGGAGGTTCATTACATTTTGACCTGTTCGATCAGGTAAATTAGGGCTCATCTGAAAACAATTTCTGGTTTATTGAGCAAAATGTTTCCAAGAACTGGGTCGTACTTCAAAATCCCTCACTTTTTCTTAAACATTTGTTTTACTTGCACAAAGGCAGAACATACCAGTATTGTTATTAGTCTTTGGGGCTAGTAGGCCATGTCTCTCATCAGCCCTATCAGAATTTCATATATTTTTTATGATAGTGGCCCTTTGAAAAGATACAGATCCATTTTTGTAGTTGCTTCTCATAACTAACTTTGTCATTTCATTATGGTGTGTGCCTTATGATTATCTTATGTGGTTCAAACAACACTGGTATTGTTCCCAACTGAACTGTATGTCAATCAAAGCATTTTGTGATATATTTCCATCATAAATGTAAAGACTCGACCACTGCATCTATTCCAGGAGTCAACACATTTACCTTTATCCAGTCCTGAAGAAGTAGACATGTTCATGAACTGTAACACTATTATTTATGGTTGATATGTAACTACATACAGTTGTTTTAAGGCATGCCACTTTTGGGCTGTATTGGTCATATAGCAACCTGTACATAGATCTAATGAATGCTGAATTCGGATTTATAATTCTGGAATTTGAATTCATTCAGTAACAAAACTGTCATTTTAGTGAAATTTTCTTGCTTTTCCAGTGCTATATTTAAAGTCCTGTCCTTGAATATTTTTAAATATTTGTAGAAGACAGGATCCCCAGCTCCAATGTGTCAGAGTGGCAGAGTGACTTTAACCAATAAATCGGAGTGTTCAATCACAGCAATATCCCTGAAGACTAGTGAGGAGCAGCTGCACCTTTTCATTTCCAGAACAATGCTGAGTTTTATTAGTTCCTCTTTAGCTTTCTTGAAGAACAACATTTCCTAAAGAGAACCCTAAATAGTGTCACAATGAAGTAGATGGCCATAGTGAGGATGACAAAGAGGAATAGAATGACATCCAGCAGCCAATATTGATACCAGGAGAGTTTGTAAGAATAGGGATGAAGATGACCACCTCCACCAGATTGGATAATGTGTGCTCCACCCATCTCAATAATTGCTGGTCTGGAGGAAAGGGCTGTGACCTTCTAATAGTCCTTAGCTTCATTGCTGATGTCTTGTAGCTGTGAACACATAACAAAATACAAGACGGGTCAAGGACAAATCATTTAGTTGGCTTAATTAGTTTTCAACAGAGCTTTAAAGATGAATTTAACAACAAAATATCGAGGGAAATCAAGCAAGTTGCAAATATAACATTTTACTTTTTCCTCCTGCTGTCCCCTACCAAAACAAGTAGACTTTCTGCATAGCACTCATTTAATCAATCTTGGTATCACAGTACACAGAATACTTCCTTTTTTATGGATTGACATGCTGGGTATTTTCATATACCTTGGAAAAAATATTCACAAAAAATAAAAAAAAACTGGCAATTTACAGGACTAACTGCCAACGTCTGAGACTGTCTCTAGAAATCAGGTAGCTAATGCTGGCCACACACTAGTAGAATTGCATTGATTTTTTTTTTGTTTTGGTTTTAAGAATATTCACTAATGGAAAATTATCCTTGAACAAATTTTTTTAAAAGTGTATGTGGTTTTTTGTTTGGAAGTCTATTCATTCACAAATCAAAATGTTAAAAGCTAACTAAATTTGTAGAATTGCATTGATTTTTTTTTTTTGTTTTGTTTTAAGAACATTCCTTCATGTTTCTAATTCTTAGTGGGCTCAAATTGACATGCATTTTTGACCTCAGTGATGGAAAATTATCCTTGAACAAATTTTTTAAAAGTGTATGTGGTTTTTGTTTGGAAGTCTATTCATTCACAAATCAAATGTTAAAAGCTAACAAAATTTTCGTTTCATAATGACATTTTTTTAAGTAATCTAATGTACTGAAAATTTTTGCACAAATTTTTATACAAATGTTGTTTTGAAAGTCTACTAGTGTATAGCCAGCTTATGATCTAATGGCATTCAGGGATGAGTAATTAACAGGTTTAATTATTCAGCCAGCATGACTATGCAAAAGTAATGCTGGCCATAGACGGATCGAAATTCAGCAGGGACCAGCCAAACTTTGATCAGTGTGTTGCAGTCCCTCCTGAACAGATGTTGATCGAGTGATTGACTTCTGCTGAAGGAGCAAGCTGGAAAACCTTTGTTGATCAGCTTCAGCCAGTGTATTCTGATATTGGTGAGTTCCGTGGTCAGAAATACAATGTCCAGGGGGGTTCTTCCATCAATCGTGTTTGTGTAAATGGAGAAATTTGTTAGTCTGTTTTAGTTACAGGCAGCTGGTTAAAGAAAATAAAACTGCCGGTCTATGGCCAGCCTAACAACTTTGTTGCATGGCCAGTTGGAAAAGAGCTAGGTCCTGTAAACTGTTAGTAAGGGTTTGGTCCTAGGAGTTAATTGCAACATAGGGATCGCCCCTGATCAGTGGTTGGTGTTGGGGGAAGAGCTCCGAGGTTCTTACTGTGTTTTTCCTGTCCAAATCTGTAACAAAAACATTCTGTGACAGAATCAGGAGTCAGGCGCCACTTGTGCTGGTATGCAAGGTCCTCCATATATTACATTGCCAACAGTTACCTTTTATTTTCGATGACATGTTTAATAGTGCTTGCAAAGTTTTCAGCCTTAAGTTGCTTGGGTGGAATAAAGGTTCCCATTTGTTTGGCTTTTATTCTGACCATGTTTTCATACTGATCCCCAAAAAGTGGAATCCCAAGAACAGGAACTCCATGATACACAGCTTCCATCAAACTGTTCATTCCCCCATGTGTCACTAGAAGACGCACTTTAGAGTGCCCTGAAATAGGCAAAAATAAAAAGTCTGATCAGAAGGGAAAAGCTTAGGAGAGAAGAAAGGATTAAAGAGGGGCAGGGAGGACTGAGTTAGGGTAGGGGAGGCAGGAGACTGTGGAACAGATTAGAGCTGACCATACAGGGATCAAAACTCTGCACGTTAAGCAAGGACTAGCCAAACTTTGATCAGTGTGTGGCAGTTCCTGAATCAACACAAACCGACTGTCTGATCAACGTTTGGTGAAGGGACATGATGAAAAACTTGTGTCGATCAACGGCTGCAGCCACTGATCAGTGCATATTGACAGAGTGGATGGAGGAATCTGTTGGTTGAACAGAAAAAAAACAAGCCTATGGCCATCATTAGGGTAGCAGGAGAGAGGACAGATTAATATAGGGGAATGAAGGACAGAGTTAGGGTAGGGGAAGGTAAGACAGAATTTGGGTAGAGGAAGGGAAGACAGAGTTAATACAGACAGAGTTAGGGTGTGGAAATAGAAAACAGTGTTAAGGTTGTGTAAGGGAGAATTTAGTTAGGTTAGGGGAAGTGAGATTGTGGGAAAAGGGGGGACAAAGTTAGGGTGGAGGAAAGAAGGACAGAATCAAGGTGAAGGACAAGAGGACAGAGCAGGGTCAGGCCATGGGATAGACAGATGAAACGGCATTCTTGGATGCATAAGGAGTTGGAGGTCCATGCTGCTAAGGTATTGGAGTGCACCTTTTCACTATGGACGACCTTGTCCCATCAATGGAGTTAGGTTAGGGGATGAAAGAACAGAATTAGGTTAGGAAAGGCAGGCCAAAATCAAGCTGAAGGAAAGGAAGATGGAGTGAAGGTTGTGGGGGGAATAGAAGGCAGAGTTAGGGCAGCAAAAGGGAGGAATTACAGGCAATATCTAGTAATACAGTAACTTCATGTTAGTATACATTGTTACTTCAAGGTAAATATGAAAGGCGTTTACCCAATAAATCGTTCTGTGACAACCAGTCCATAATTTTCACATTTGGAGGAATTTCCACATTTTGTGGCCATTTTGACCTCTCATACCTCCAGATCACCTTCTGCTCAATCTTAGCTAATCCACTGTTCATCTCCTCGTGGAATTCCACTAGAGGAAGTGAGGACAACATCGATCCCAGAGTCACCACGATGAAACCAGCATCTCCGGACTCAGATATAAAGTCTTCCAATTCCTGAACATAATAAAATACAATAACTTTATTTTTAAAGCACTTTTTATTTCATCAGGCAATAAGGAACTGTCTGTCTGGATTTTTATATAATCTCTATTTACCTGTTGACAGAACAGATAAACACTACAACAAGACACAACAGTGTAATGGTTCCAGAGCATCGTATATCACAAGATCACACAAATAGTGTGAATATATACATGGCTAGCTCTTACATGTTGCTTCATAAAATAATTATTTTGTTGTTCATTAGCTCTCCTTTTCACTCGGGGCCTGCCTCTGCCCTAACGCTAAACTTCAGACAATGAAGAAAATGAGGAAAAAGAAAACTATAGAGAAAAATTAACCAGCCCATTCGGTGTACCTAACTTCTAATATTGTATGATATGTATGATTTATAGAAGCGCATAAAGCCCTTCAATCCAATACATTTTATTTTCCACTTTTGTAGCCAAATTGGAATAACATCCACTTTATAATTGTTACATGACCGCAATCACATAACATAACAAAAAATATTTTTAAAATGCTACGTATCTTTTTTAGATGCTTTATTCTGGACCCTCCAGCAAGGAAAAATTCTACTTACTTCTCTTTCTTTATGAGGGGTCTGTCTGTACTGTGCAGGTTGGTCTTTATTATCAACTGTAACTAGTTTTGAGCACTGTTTGTCCTAACAAATGGTTAAAGGTGTGGAGGCTGGGCCTCTTACATTGTATGTTAACAAGGATAGACTTGGCAAATCCAACACAACAAACACTTTTCTCCTGCGCTAGGAAAGGACTCAGTAGACCCAATAGGAATGTTCTGGAATTTTCTGGAATATGCACTGCTTGCTGCCCTCAACAGACCGGGGTGGTCCAAATACACTAGATGCAAATGGAGAAACAGAAAAAGGGCGCACCGACCTAGTGCATTATTGTTTAAAATATTTATTGAAGAAACAAAGTAAGTATCATACTTACAATAGACATAAAAAACACAGGCATGTCAAACAAGTATGATCCAAACAACATCTGAGTCCATACGATGGAACCCTGGATGACCAACTGGCTAATGCGTTTCGAGGACACAACCTCTTCCTCAGAGCCAAGGTTGGTCGGCTAGTCTTGGGACTCCCTCTCCTCATTGGATGAGACAGCAGCGGGATCCATTGGTCAATGAAAAGAGAGAGGGGGCATGACCGAGCCACGTCTACGTGTTTGAATGGACACATGGTGCAGAGGCTGGGGAGTGTGCATGTTTGGGTGCCCTCATAGCAAGCTGCTTGCTGTGGGGGCACCCAACAGTAGGGAGGGATCAGGAGCGCTGGCAGGGGACCCAAGAAGAGGATCCGGCTGCTCTGTGCAAAACCACTGCACAGAGTAGGTAAGTATAGGGATGTTTTGTTTTTCTTTAAGCCTTTAAGTAGTGGTTCACAGTACGTACAGTGGGAAAAAAAGGGTCAAATTAAGGGGCACTCCCACAAAAAGGTGAAGAAATGTTAGTTCCAAGCCACAACCAAAATGTCTGGATACATTTAACACTTGTCTACCAGGGCAGTGTTTTAATTTTTGCATGAAGAATGAAGAATAAATTGGTGGCAGTATTTTTTTTTTATGTAGCACTATATTTGCATAAATCTTTATAAATGTATTTTTTCATGAAAAAAATACACTAAAATTAGTTTTAATGCACAAAAATATACAATATAATACCTAATTTGTTGATACATTTTAAATGTAGGGTTGCATGGAGTAACTAGATCAAGCCTAAAAATTGTGTGAATCCATAAAGTAGCATGAAAACTATGGCATCCGAAACTTGTCAATAGACAATGCTTTAAAATCCTTTTCAGATTATCAGACTAGAGTTAACCGTACATTATGGCCCAGAATCATTGCTCTCACATTCCCAGTGGTACCTTACATGTGTGACACAACTGCCGTTTACATACATGTGCTTGGAGAGGGGTGAAGGTGAAAGCTGCCATGAGCTTGCTTTAACCCTTTCACTACATTTTATAAATGTACTGTATCGTGGTAGACAAGGGATTTAGGCCAGCCTGGCTGGGACTTTGTACCATCTAGAACAGTGGTCCCCAAACTATGGCCCTGGGGCTGGATGTGACCCTTTGCTTGCCTTTATCCAGCCCTTGGCTCACTATTCCTCACACTGATATGAGACACTATTCTGCAAACTGACACTAACAATGGGGCACCTTTTTTTTCCAACTGACACCAATAACATTTCCACCCAGTGATAACCAATGTTGGGGCATTGTTCCTAAACCATTCCTAAATCATTTCCCCCTGATGAAGCCACGTGACCGGTGGCGTAACGCGTAGGGGAGGGGCTCAGATGTCACCGCGTGCAGTCGGCTTTTTTGGCGAGTACAGACACAGTGTGTATTAACACACTGCTACCTTTTCTTCTTAAAGGCTTTTTTATTTTAATGAAAATGTGAGTGTGACAGACAGAGTTTGGCAATAAAAGGAGTTTTATAAGGATAAAGCACTATCTTCTGTTTTTCTTTGCAATTATATATGTGGAGTTTGCTGGAGTAATTCTGGAGGATTGTTCCCCTGGAGGGGAGAAGGAGGGAAGATTCATCCAACCACCCACCCATAGATCCATACAAGATAATGAGGAGAGGAGTGACACCAGGTTAACCAGGAAAACTGCAGTTTGGAGAGATTGTTTGAAGGTGATAAGCAGCCAAGCATACTTCATCCTTTTATAGGATAAACTGCGTGATTTAGCCTGTTGAGGCTGTAGACGGAGGTGAACGCATGATAGAGCTGTATTTATGCTGCAAAAGTTTTTGGAACCTGGAGTGTATTCATCTAATTAGCACAGATTTCTCAAAAAGAAAGAGGACTCTTATGTATCAGTCTCTGGATATACAATGATACATTTATTTCCATAGTATAAAGGGATTGTAAAAGCACAGTGGACATTTGTTTTTTTCACATTTTGTTTTTTTCACACTTTATTTATATTAGATTTTATTTTAGTTCATTTTTTACACGTAATCAATGTGTTTTTGATGATAATAATAGAGGAGCGCAGCACGATATTTATCTATATATTGGTTGACACTATTGTATGAGTTGGTGTGATGTGTTTTGCGAACCTAAAACATTTTTTTGGATTTAACATATGTTTATTGAATATTTTTGGGTTGTGTTTGCAGAGAATTCACTGTATTGGCTCACAGGTGGACAGTTGGTTTTGGGTTCCTAAACCTAATACCAAATGTGGCGATGTTTACTCCCACTGATACCAGGAAAATTTCCAGTCTCACTCGCCACAGTCCAACTCCCCTAAAGTATGAATGACAATAAACTGGTCCTTTGTTTAGAAAGTTTGGAGACCCCTGATCTAGAATACAACTTATAGTATATCTCTTGCATCTTAGAAGAAACATTGACCAGTCTCTTTATATTAATTTTATGACTTTCTGACAGCATAGCAAAATGACGCTCCAGTGATGCGTTGATCACAAGCACATTCGCTGTTCGCTGTTTGACATCTTTGAATGGTCTTCTTTCAGGTTCTGATATTTAGCTATTTTGGCTGGTCATTCATCTCTTTAGATGCCGAAATTGGTCACTAAGCTGTGTGTGTACAGGCCAGTGTGCATTGCAAACAAGCAGCTAAGAATACTTTAATGTAGAAATTACATAGTGTACTGTATATCTGCTACACTGAAATGCCTGCTTGTTCACAAATATGTTCTTATTGCCTTGTCCAATGAGAGTGCATTGGTGGTGATTAAGGGCATTCTAACTGGACATGGCAATAGGTGGCCCAATATTTTCAGGGATAAGCTAAATATGAATTTGAAGGTGCTAAATTAGCGTTATGGAGTAAAGTGGTTCTAAAGTCTAAACATTTATTATCCAAAAGCATTCCCTGCATTAAGGGAAATGTCCTAGTAATTGCATTTCCCCCTCACCTCCCTGAATACTTGCCTAACTTGATTCAGTGCTGGTCTGCAGTGGTGCTTGTCTGTGTTCCTCTCCCTACAGGCTGTGGTGGCTCCTGCTGCTGCTGCAGTCAATCAAATCCTGTGAGGAGGGAGCAGAGGGTGGGGTTGAACTGTGCTGTGTGTGTCTATGGATGCCCACAGCCCAGCTCAGGAGTGAGTCCACATGTATGCCACCATAGAAAGCAGCTTGCTATGGTGGCATACACAGAAAACGAGGAGCCATGAAGCAGAGGACCCCAGAAGATGTGAATCAGAGCCACTCTGTGCAATACCATTGCACAGAGCAGGTAAGTATAACATGTTTGTTATTTTACAAAAAAAGCATATTTTGCCTTTACAACTTCTTTAACCGCCTCCCGTCCGCTATATAAGGAAATGATGGACGGGCAGCGGTTCTCTCGTTCTGGGAGGACATCTTATGATGTCCTTTCACTCTAACTGCACATGCACGCTGCTGGGGGTCCCCAGCGCGGTGATTGGTGCTGCGCTGTATTCCTGGGACACAGCGGATCACTGATCCATGGAAAGAGCTGATGACGTCGGCTCTGTCATGTGATCAGCTGTTTCCAATCACAGCTGATTGCATGTAAATAAGGAAGTGCCAGTTATCGGCATTCCTCTCCTCATGAGCAGTCACGCTGACAGCTCATGAGAAGAGGAGAGCCGGTAATCGGCATTCTTCAGAGGGGACATGTACATGTAGTGCCCAGAAGACCAGTGTAGCCCCATCAGTACCACCAGCCAGTGCCCATCAATGCCACATATCAGTGCCCATCTGAGCTGCCTTTCAGTGCCACCTATCAGTGCTCATCAGTGCTGCCTATCAGTGAAGCCTGTCAATGCACATCAGCACCACCTACCAGTGCCTCCTCATCCGTGCCGCCTGTCAGGGCAGCCTATCAGTGCCCATCACTGCAGCCTCATTCGCACACATCAGTGAAGGAGAAAAATTACTTATTTACAAAATTGTATAACAGAAACTAACTTTTTTTTTCAAAATTTTCAGTTGTTTTTGGTTTGTTAAGCAAAAAATAAAAAACCCAGAGGTGATTAAATACCACCAAAAGTAAGCTCTATCTGTCTCAAAAAAATATAAACATTTCATATGGGTGCAGTGTTGCATGACCGTGCAATTGTTATTCAAACTGGAACAGTGCTGAAAGCTGAAAATTGGCCCTGGGCAGGAAGGGGGCGAAAGTGTCCAGTAGACAAGTGATTAAAATTATGGTTATAGTTACAGTATATGTAAACCCCCACCTTGTAAAACGAGCCATTTACTTTAAAAATGAAACAAAAGGCAAAACATTTGTGTAAAGATATAAATGTAAAGCCCATTACGTGAGGCTAGTGTAAGGTAACTTTATTTTTGGCTCATGGTAGTGAGTGAGTCTGAATTACTGTGGGTTCAGTGTGAGGTCAGTCTGGATGGCTCAGCAGGCTGGGACTCTATCGCCTTCATCTAGTTCTAGAGGTCCATTGAAGCTTCCAGAAGCCAAAGGCCGGATACTTCAGTTTGCATATTCATGGCAGTCTGACCAATCCCAGAGAGGAGGCTCTGGTAGTGTGGCAGACCAATCCATAAATATGAGGGGTGTCAATCCAGTCAGCAGACCAACCCATAAATATGAGAGGAGTCCTGTAGATAATTCATTTCTGAGAGGTGTTGCTGTGTAACCTGGGAGGGAACCTCGGGGGGTCTGGTTCCAGGATGGAGGCTAGAAGCTGAGGAGAAGCTGAAAGAGGGAGCTCAGCTGCCCTGCAGTCCAACGGGGAAGGACAGCCTTCAAAGCTTGGAGAGGAACCAGCCCAGCTAGAAGGCCTGAAAGCAGTTCTATTCACAGCTGCAGGACAAGGATAGTGCGAGTACCTCTAAATCCCAGAGCCTAGAAGGGAGAAGTCTGCTGAGTGCACATTCTGGCAAGTCTTCAGGGGGAGTCCATAGCTTACCCAATCCCTTGTTCCAGGATCAGATACTGTAGTTAGGTGGGCTGGTATTCTGTGCACCAAGGGAACCAAGAGCTCCTACACATTGTCAGGTTGCTAGAAATCCGCTCAGAGGACACTTACTAAGGACTGTAATAGCTCTGGCTGGAATGCATTCTGGAATTAAGTGCTTGTAATTTTTTTTTCTGAGTGTGCCAGAGCAGGAAAAGCCCTCATTTTGTTTCTTCACTCAATTTGGGCTTTACTCTATCCAAGTATAACCCCTTAACCCCCCTAGCGGTATTCCCGAGTGTAGCTCAGGGTTACGTTTCAGTACCAAAATCGGTAACCCTGAGATACACTCGGGATTACCCTGCAGCGTTGCACAGGGATTCCCTCGATCACTTGCCTTGTCCTGCGCTCCTACGATGTCTCCCCTGCAGCGTCCCCGGTCATGTCCTCTGGCCGATGCCAGCATCTGTCTCCTGGGTTCCGGTCCCTGCGACGTGGGAACGTACGGGGAACGGAACCGGTGGCAAATTCAAAAATGTAAAAAGTGACATTCACTCAATACACTAAAATCACATAGTATAACATTACTGTATTAAACCATTTCACATACATTTTGTCCCGAGTGCTTTGTCCGGTGCCCTGCCTGCATTTTTACTGTTCTTTCTGCCTGGAAACTGAGAAATGTCCATGGCGTCCAAAAAGCGTCCCTTTAGGTCAAAAGCGATTTTAGACCAGCTAGAGAACAGCGATAGTAAATTAGAACCACTTGTATTGAGTGATAATGATTTGAGGGGAAATTCGGCATCAGACACTGAAATGATTTTGCGACTGAACTCAGTGATGTGTGAACTTGGCGCTCTTTTCACATTTCATTGTTTTTGGTTTGATTACATTATTAAATTAAATGTATTATTATTATTATTATATTATTATTATTTTTTATGATTATTTATTATATTATAATTTATGATTTCGTGTTTCAAATTTTATCATACCCGGGATGTTTACTAGACTCTTAGGGCAGATTTCAGTGAGTTATTCCTAAGAATTACAGGCCTACAATAAAAAAAAACCAACATATTTCCATGCAAAAAAATTTACAGATTTGAGCACAGAAATATGGACATAATCAGACCGCTAGGGAGGTTAATACAGAAAAAGAAACCAGCTCAAGAGATGTGTGTGGAGATGTGAAGGAAAGGGGACCCAAAACTCAGAGACTCCTATGAGGTAGTGCTACATTAAAAAAACATTATAAATGCCTTTTTCCCTTTTTTTATAAGTCATCACATTCCCTCTGACCCTTCATCACTCTATCCAAAACAGATTGCTTACGCGAGAATTTAATATCGCTTCAGAATGTTTTATTAAACAAAGGTCATTCATGCCATACTCACTTGTGATAATGGTTTTACAGGTTTGGCCAATAATCCCCCAATGTACTGAACATGAGGCAGAAGTGGACGAGGAAACTCAAGGGTGAAGTCTACGTTGTACAGCCAGAGCTCAGCTTTTAAATGAAGATCGGGTATATTTGGTCTAGACTCAGCAGGAAAATGTTCTTCGATGACACCATCAAATACTGAGTCAATCATTTTCTGGATTACTGATGAACCCAGAAACATCATTGTGTTCTTTAAACGCCCAAAGAAATCCATCTGGTCAGTAAGCTGCGTCTGGAACAATGGAATATAGGACAGAGGACTCGGCATTCCTACACGGTCAGCATTGGCCATAATCCCAGGAAAGAAAGCAATAAATGGGAGTCCCAGCTTCTCAGAGACCAAGAAAGTACACGGGTTGAATGCGTCCACCACCGCAATGTCATAATGTTCCTCCTTTAAGAAGGTTAATATTTTTGTCTGGTGCAATGTTATGTTGCACTGGTAAGACAGTTCCTTCAAAAATGTGAGGACAGACTGAACTCCTCGTCTGAAAGGAAAAGTTTATTCCACCTAGTTAGAGTTACATTTAATGTAAAATCTATCATAAATTACAATTTAGGCTGATATAAGATAGCAATTAATAACATTTACAAAATATGAGTTCATTAGACCACATCCAGAGGTCAGGAAATTTGCACTCTATCTTCTGAAATCCCATGTCTTTTAGGAGACTGGGATACCCATGGGTGAGATGAAGAACAGCAGGAGACCAAGGGAAGTCTATTACCTAGTTTTTCTGTCAAGTATGAACCTGGAAGTGCTCATCTCTGAACACTTACAAGTTCATAGCTGTCAGACCCCGCCTGCAAAAATAGCAGATCCTGGACAGTTTGTCCTTAATCTGCTGGGACACACTGCGGAGAAGGCATTAGGGATCTAATATACCAATGATGCCTTCATAAAGAGCACCTGCCTCTTCAGGTATGCTCTTACATACCATATAGGATATGGCTTGTCAGTTATCTTGTGCAAGTAATGACATTAAGCAAAACTGTTTACAAAATGAAAATATAATAAAATAAATGAAAAACAAAAAAAACTGTATGTGCCCCCCACCCTCACATACAAACACAAACAAGCACAGATGGTGTACATGGGTATGTGAATGACAATTGAGCAACACACAGTGGGGTTGATTTACTAAAACTGGAGAGCACAAAATCTGGTGCAGCTGTGCATGGTAGCCAATCCACTTCTATCTTCAGCTTGTTCAATTAAGTGTTGACAAAACATCCTGGAAGCTGATTGGTTTCTGTTCAGAGTTGCACCAGATTTTGCACTCTCCAGTTTTAGCAAATCAACCTCATTGGGTATTGCTGTGCATGCTGAAGTGAAAGGCATAATTCTTAGGTCAGCATTTCTGGTTAACTCTACAATGATGACAGGTTTGTAAAGCATCACCTATGGACAATTTTGAGGTGGATGTGAGCATTTTTGAGGCTAGACATATTTGGTATCTATTTACTTGAGTCTCATCTTTTATAATGTAATAATATAATTATTTTTGTAAACAAAAATTATTTTGAGTGTATATTTTTTCAGAAAAAAAATGATTTGGTAAACAGAGGTGTACATATGTTTTTATTCTACAAGTCCTCTCACAAAATACAAAGTGCATGTTCATGTAAAAAAAAAAATGCGCATTTTCGGTTGTTTGTGAAAAAAATAAAAAATCGGCCTGGCAGTGAAAGGGCTGAAGCCAACTCACCTTTTTTTTTAAATAGGCTTTTATTTTTCACCTTTTAGTTTAAATCGGTGATGAAAACGCGTAAGGGCGTGATCAAGCAGTGATGTCACCATGTACTCTGTTACCACGAGGCTGGACCATGTGACTGCAGCTACGTGATCTGTTGCTGAGAGTGGCTGGTGAGACACCACTATCAGAGCTAGAGATTGTTTGCAGCTATATATTACTGAATGCTGGTTTTTACCTTACACATTGTCAGATTGGTATTAAGGGGGGTATTTTTGATACAATAAATAGTCAAACAATATTATGCTATGGCGAGCGTTCTTTATTTACCGACATATGGAATTGAATTATACTTACCTTGATGGAGTCTACATGAATCAGCCATCTGATGAATGAATATTTTCTGGATTGATCAGTGTTTTGATGAATCTTCCATATCTACTGATATTTTGATTGAAATGCTGATTAAACACCAGCATCTGGTGAGTTAGCACTTTGATGGGGTGTTTGAGTTCAAAGGAATTCACTGTTGTGGCGAATATGTATTTTTTGAAGAAGGTTATGTATGGACTACACTTTATTAGGGACTTATAATTTTTTATGTCTTATAATTTTGGCACATATTTTTTTTTTTTTTGGTGGCAGTTTTTATTTTATTATTTTTTTATTTATATATTGATGTATTTATTTATTTTATTTATATTTATGTATATATCATTTAAGAGCATATATAGTTTTGAGAATGCTGTTTATGGTATTTCCATTTATTTATAAACTTATAATAAAGCTTACCTGTGGGTAAAATTATTATCTCCTAAACATGCATCCTTTTAAGGTAAGTCCTTCATAATGTGCTAGTATGCAATGCATACTAGCACATTATGCCTTTACCTTGCAGGGGATTTTTTTTATTTTTTCTACCGCTTTAACAACAACAGGGGAAAGTCATCGCATATCAGTCAGTACAAATGGTCAGATAGCTTAACATTCATCCCGGTCAATTATACTAAGCCAGTAGAGCCCCATGTAGCCCTACTGGTATGTCTATAGAAGTCAATGAGGAAGGAAAGGAAGTCCCAGGAGCCGTACATCACACAAAACCCTCATGTGAAGAGTGGAAGCAGCCCCAGCCTAGACTCTGTCCAGGCCACACCCCAGCATGTTTCTCCCCACCCACAGGGCTTAGTCACAGGTTTTGTGGGGGGGGGGGGACATGTCGGAGGTGTGGCCTGGACATAGTCTAGGCTGAGGCTGCTTCCACTCTTCACATGAGGGTTTTGTGTGATGTGCAGCTCCTGGGACTTCTTTTCCTTCCTCATTGACCTCTATAGAGATAAGACAAGCTCTTTCCCTTCCTGCACTCTGAGAAATTGGCAGCATATAAGGACCTATTAGAGCACCCATAATTTCTTTGTATGTTTCTGGGACACCCTTGGACCATTATTGGCATGTTTTTGGGTCCCCCTAAGCCATGGAGCCATAATCCTATCTCCTGTTTCCAAACCCCCCCCCCCCCCCTTCCTCCTTGAACACCTAATAGTATGTTTCCTTTCCCCCCTTGAAACCCTAGCAAGTATGTTTCTGATTTCCCCCACTTGTATCTTTACTTAATATGTTTATGGTTTTCTTTTCTACAATGGACCCCTACTGGGTATATTTTACCATAGGAAAACCTTCCAAACTAAGACTAATGAACATCACCCAGTTTCCCCCTCAGACCCCTACAGAGTATATCCTCTTCCCCCAGTTGAAGGCCTAATGATATGATTCTGCTTCCCCCTCCCCTGCGGAGATCTACCAGGTAAGTTTCTGGTTTTCCTACTTGGACCTTTACTGAATATTTTTCTGGTCCCCCTTGCCCCCCTCCCCCTCCTTCCCAGGCACATACTGAACATGTTTTACGATACCTGCCCATAAGGAACTCTTTCTGATCTTCTATAAAAAGATCCATAATTTCCTGATGATATTTCTCATCCAGGGAATACGTGGTCACTGGATATGGACTTGGTGGTGGCTTGTAACCTGAACATCAAAAACAGTTTTTTAGTCATATGCACTGTGACTGCTATTGCAATGGAGGATCCTGCAGCCAATAAGTAATCTGTTAAATTACTCCTCATACCTGATTGGCCTAGCAACTTGTAGCCCTGAACATACATACAGTATCTCTATCTATGGGAGGCAATAGAAAATACAAGGAAACAAACAAAATTGAAGACAGTTGTTTCAGTATTTTTGATCAATCCCTACAGGGTCACTTGTATACAAGAGAAAATCCTATAAAAGAAGTGGGCATTATAGTGCATGTACCTTTCTGATGGCCCATTTATTGATACGCAGGTGCTTTGCTTCTCCCAACCCCAGCAGGTATTTGACCTATTGGGTGGGTTGAATATCTGTTGCCTCCATTACACATTGTGGTTTCTCCTACTAGCTCATACACATTGTAGCGATGTATGAGATAGAGGGAGGAACCACAACGTGTGGCAGGAAAGCAGGTATTCCGCACTTAATCATGTGGAATATTTACAGTGGTTAGCAAAGCAATGATGTTTCAAGAAACAGACCATTGAAAAGGTATGTATATTGCCTCAGCTTTTACAGATTTTTGCCTTCAGTGTAAATAAACCTGTGGCAACAGGGTCACTTTAAAGCAAACCTACTAAAAAATAAATGTTTTAACCTCCCTGGCGGTATTCCCGAGTGTAGCTCGGGGTAAAGTTTCAGTACCACAAGGGGTAACCCCGAGCTACACTCAGGAATACCATGCGGCGATGCCCTGCGATCCCTCGATCACTTACCTTGTCCTGCGCTCCCGCAATGTCCCTCCTGCAGTGTCCCCGGCCATCTCCTCTGGCGGATGCCGGCATCTGTCATCTGGGTTCCGTCCCCTGCGGCGTCGGGACGTACGGGGGATGGAACGGCGGGAAATTTGAAAATGACAAAAAGTGACATTCACTAAATTCACTAAAATCACATAGTATAACATTACTGTATCAAACCATTTCACATACATTTTGTCCCGAGTGCTTTGTCCTGTGCCCTGCCTTCATTTTTACTGTTCTTTCTGCCTGGAAACTGAGAAACGTCCATGGCATCCAAAAAGCGTCCCTTTATGTCAAAAGCAGTTTTAGACCAGCTAGAGAACAGCGATAGTAAATCAGAACCACTTGCAGAATTGAGTGATAATAATTCGTGGGGAAATTCGTCATCAGACACTGAAAACGATTTTGCGACTTTGCTCAGTGATGTGCGAACTTGGCGCTATATTTCAAAATTCAGTGTTTTTTGTTTGATTATATTATTGAATTAAATTTATTATTATTATTATTATATTATTATTTTTTATGATTATTTATTAAATTATAATTTAAGATTTCGTGTTTCAAGTTTTATCATACCCGGGATGTTTACTAGACTCTTGTTCGGACAGATTTCAGTGAGTTATTCCTAAAAATTACAGGCCTACAATAAAAAAAAACATATTTCCATGCAAAAAAATGTACCGCTTTGAGCACAGAAATATGGACATAATCAAACCGCTAGGGAGATTAAAGTCCTGCCTATGAGCAAACATCACAAGATGTCTGTTATGCTCATAAATTACTAGAAACTCCCCTATGTGTCTCACATAAACTAATTTCACTTATGAGTGTACCTTTATTAGTCCCTTAAGCCTTCAAACCCCAAGACAAAATATAACAGTGTCAGCATGCAGGAGTTAATTTGTCAGTTTGATGAGGGATCTGAGAACTAAGAACACACACAGGTGCACGTTCCTAGTTCTCTACTGTATGGAGCACTGTGCAAAAGTGTTTAAATAGGCATAATGCAGTCAAGATTCCTTAGTCCAACTCCAACCTCTGTCGGAACTGTCCGAAACTTCTGTCTGGTTTAAAATGCTGCCTCTTTTGAGGAGATTTCTGTTGTCTTCCTGTTCTGCCTCATACGACTTATCTAGACAGGAAGCATGTACCACAGGGATATACCAGATTTATGAGCACGTAACGCTCACCTCAGGAAGGTTGCAGAGAATACACAAGTTCTTCCACAATTGTACAGAGGCTGCCATCCACAACTACAGTTTCATGCACACCGATAACACAGACTTATGCAGGCCATAGATGGGTCGAAAACCGGCCGATTTTTCCTTAAAAAAACTAAAAGTCGGTCGTTCAAGCGGCCGACGTTACCAGCAACGGTAAAAAAAAAAAAAAAAAAAAAAATCGGCCGATTTTCATCCCGTCTACAGCCAGCAAAAAGTGTCCCTGCAGAGAGCTCTGCTATTTCTTTGACAGTTCCTTGACATTTATAGCGGTTGCAACAATGTATCTATTTGTATCCATTTAGGATACAGATGTTTTTATTCGGAAACAAATAGATACATTGTTGCAACCGCTATAAATGTCAAGGAACTGTCAAAGAAATAGCGGAGCTCTCTGCAGGGACATTTTTTGCCAGACTGGAATTCCTCTTCTTCATCCTCTTCTTCATCCTCTTCTTCTTCTTCATCCTCTTCTTCTTCTTCATCCTCTTCTTCTTCTTCATCCTCTTCTTCTTCATCCTCTTCTTCTTCATCCTCTTCTTCTTCTTCATCCTCTTCTTCTTCATCCTCTTCCTCTTCTTCCTATTCTTCTTCTTCCTCCTCTTCTTCATCCTCCTCTTCATCCTCTTCTTCATCCTCTTCTTCATCCTCTTCTTCTTCTTCATCCTCCTCTTCTTCTTCCTCCTCTTCTTCTTCTTCATCCTCCTCTTCTTCTTCTTCATCCTCCTCTTCTTCTTCCTCCTCTTCTTCTTCCTCCTCTTCATCCTCTTCTTCATCTTCTTCTTCATCCTCTTCTTCCTCCTCTTCTTCATCCTCTTTTTCATCCCCCTCTTCATCTTCTTCCTCTTCTTCCTCTTCTTCTTCCTCTTCTTCTTCCTCTTCTTCTTCTTCCTCTTTTTCTTCCTCTTCTTCTTCATCCTCTTCTTCTTTTTTCTGCTTCTTTTTGTCTTCCTCTTGCAGGTCACTGCTCATGCGCAGATTTTTTTATCGGTAAAAAGATCGGCCGATTTGCCCATCATTGCCGCGAAAATCGGCCGATCGGCATAATCGTCCAATTTTTTTCCAACTTTACAGATAAAAAAAATCTGCCAAAATACCAAAAAACGGGCAAACAATTAGCCCACTAACGATCCGAAAATCGTCCGATTTTATTTTCGGACGATTTTCGACCCATCTATGGCCTGCATTAGTCTGAGGGATATATTGTTAGATTTTATTGCTGAGTAACTTGAAACAGGAGGGGGTTCATTATACTCCAAAACAATCAGAATTACAAACTTCTAGCACATATCATTATAGCTGCAGACACACATGAACTAGGTCTTACTCACAATGTCTTAGAAGCTGACTGCCACCCAGCTTCCACAGGTAGTTCCTCTGTGAGGCAGAAAAACCATCCTTCCAAAGACCAAGACTTCAGAAGAGCGCATTCCAGCAGACAAATCCTTTAGCAATCTTCTCCAGACCCTCAGCCTAGCTCCTGCTGAAGCTCAAACTACAATCCTTGTCTTGCTCTAGTTGTTTCTCAGGGGCAGTACCCCCAGGAGAACTGGAACCCTCCTAGCAGAGGAAGAACACTCTGGAAAGACCTCCCAAACATTTATCACCTCTCCAGCCAATTTCTGGATGCCTCCTTCCAGGGACTGGCTGGGGCATGATTAATTTTACTGGGCATTTGACTCTATATTCTGAAATATTCTTCTAGAAGCAGGTGGAAGAAGGCAAACAGTTTAGAAAGCCATGACCAGACAAAAGCAATAGATCACTGCTCCACCCACTGCAATGAAGCAAAAAATGCCAAATAAACATCTGTTTGTTTCCTATTATGAGATGTACCCTCACTTACTGTTATGACATCTGACAGGAAGTGGGGAGAATTTCCTTCATTTCTTGATCTGTTTGGTATCAACCAAAAGGGGACCAGACAGCATTATAAAATTGTCAGAGGTTCTAAACCTCTAAAACTAAACAAAAAAAGTTTGGTTGGAGTTTGACTTTTGATACCATTCTGTATGCAACTTTGCAGAGAGCAAAAGTCTGACTCCAGCTATAATTATTATCCATCCAAGATGCTTATTTTTTTACTGTACACCCACCTGGAAGCATTCCTTTCTCGAATTGCAGGAACATTCTCACTTCATGTCCATTGTTATGGAGGATTCGGGAGATCTCATCCATCAAGAGGTAATGACTCCCACCTGCAAACACAAGCAATGAAAAACACAGAGGCTTAGTGATTTTTGCCTTGTAGCACGAGGCTCAGTGTTTGAAAATCTTAAGCATGACAATATAGGTTTTGCATGTTCTCTTTGCACTTGTGTGGGTTTCTTCTGGGTACTGCGTTTTACAGCACTTTAAAGACATGCTGGTTGGTTATTTGTCTCCTGTCTAAATTGGTCAAAGTATGTGTATAAATGATGTAGGAAGCAGTGAGGAGGTGGTCAGAGCTCAAGGAAACCTTGAGGAGGAGTCTGTTTGCCATCAGTGTATTTGATCCAAAGAGTGATTGATACATAAGGCTTTTAAAGTTTTGTTGTCTGTAAGTGGCTTTCTATTAGATAACAAATGGTGTTTTAACAATATAACACTATTGGATTTTTAAATTTTCTCTTTATGAATATTGGTCTACATTGAGCTGATTGGGATGGTCCTGCTACCGGAATGGAATATATAAACAACATGCTCTATATGCCAAACATGAGAATGAAAGGCATATAAATTTGGTGAGGGAGCACCCTAAAGGGATTTGGTGGCACTGAGCACTTGGTGTGGAGCTATTTAAATTTAAATTGGAGAAGATTGAAGTGACAAATGCTTGATGAAAGGATCGGATATTAATGGGACTTTAACTTTTGCACTGGGTGGATTTTCTTTAGTGTGGACTATTTAAGTTTTATCTTCATTATTTATTATTATTAGATATTTATTATTTATTGGTGATTTGTTTGACACATAGCATAGCACAGGGGTTAAAATTTCGAGTCCAGACCTACTATCCGGTCACAAAACCTACTCTCCACCAGTCACCCCACCCAACCTTGCCCAGGTCTACCCCCAACCCCACCCCCGGCCCACCCCAAACCCCTCACCCAGACCACCCCCAACCACCCCCCCTTAAAGCTTATGAAATTACATTTTTCTTTAGAATAAATAGTCCAAAATATAAAACTGTAAACAGTAATGTATATTCCAGCTCCCCTGTACTCCATTATAGTGATATACAGTGATGTATATCCCCCCTCCCCTGTACACCATTATAGTGATATGACATGTATACAGTAATGTATATCCCCCTCCCCTGTACCCCATTATAGTGATATGACATGTATACAGTAATGTATATCCCCCTCCCCTGTACCCCATTATAGTGATATGACATGTATACAGTAATGTATATCCCCCCTCCCCTGTACTCCATTATAGTGATATGACATGTATACAGTAATGTATATCCCCCCTCCCCTGTACTCCATTATAGTGATATGACGTGTATACAGTAATGTATATCCCCCCTCCCCTGTACTCCATTATAGTGATATGACGTGTATACAGTAATGTATATCCCCCCTCCCCTGTACTCCATTATAGTGATATGACGTGTATACAATAATGTATATCACCCCTCCCCTGTACTCCATTATAGTGATATGACATGTATACAGTATGTATATCCCCCTCCCCTGTATTCCATTATAGTGATATGACATGTATACAGTAATGTATATCCCAGCTCCCCTGTACTCCATTATAGTGATATGACATGTATACAGTAATGTATATCCCCCCTCCACTGTACTCCATTATAGTGATATGACATGTATACAGTATGTATATCCCAGCTCCCCTGTACTCCATTATAGTGATATGACATGTATACAGTAATGTATATCCCAGCTCCCCTGTACTCCATTATAGTGATATGACAT